TAGACTGCTCCCACGGGTTTTATGCGTCACTGATCCGGTCGATAAAACAATTTATTGTTCTCTATTTGACGGTATCATTACGTTGTGTACATTGATAGGGGCGCAAACCCCCAAGTTATAACAAACGGGAAAAAAACAACTCTTGAGGGTAGATTTCACGCGAGAAAACAAGCAAACGGAAAATCAAATTTTAAAGATAAATGTAACACAATAGTCAGTAAATAGTTGGTTTTCTGAAGGATTCAACACATTTATTCTAAATATGATAAATGGATTTTCAAATACTTTAATATCCCTCAATTTCAACATTTCTCTATCTAATCTTTTCTGTTCTAAACACGAATAGCTAATAAATAAATATTATATTTGTAATATCCCAATCTAAGTTTAAACTTGGATTAATTTTAATTTGGTTATTTATTCTCTGAAGAAGTGGCTTATACTAAGTCACAAAACGTCAGAAAATCTAATTTTTCTACTTATTGGGATATTACAAATGTATTATTTATTCATAACAAACTACTCAATGCTCAATTTATTCGAAATTATCAAATCAAACCTTGGTAATGATACCTACAAACTCATGAATAACTAGTCTTTATGATTGAATGACAAACTGAAAGAATATAGGAACAAAGTCAAAAAAACAAATGTAAACTAACCCTACTAGAGGTTAATTTTTTTTTTCACCACATATATATACAGAGACTTGTATAATGTCATGCTCAATCATCAAAGGTATATGGGAAGAGAAAAAACGTACAAAATTATATTCTCTAATTTATACAGAATCAAAATACTTAAATAATTGGTAACGCCTAAAAATAACAAGAGGAAAGAATAATGAAGATCATTGTTACCAATAACAATAAAAAAGGGAACCAAAGGGAATATACCAAAAATAAAAAAACGGGATTAGAACAGGTAAATGAATAAATAAATAAGTATCAGAAGGGGTTCTTGTAGATATTATAGTAATTTCAATAGTTGAGGTCATGAGTCAATTGAAGCTAGACCACCACGGAAAACCTGGCCGTCCAATACTTTCAGGTTTTTCATAGTGGTCTGGCTTCAATTGACTCATGATTTCAACTATCGAAAATAAATAAGTAATATATGATTTTCTGCATTTGCAATTCAACAAGTACTGGAAGTATTTAAAAAAAAGAATGGAAATAGAGAAGGTAAAGATTGATCAACTTCATTACATTTTATGCAAGTGATTTCCGGAAATAAATTAGCTGAATTGACAGAATTAATCTTTACAAATTATCATCACTGACTGAACAGATAGATTACTGAAGATAGTAATTAATGAATGAATAATTGAATAAATGATTAAATAATTCATGATATTACTAATACACAAAATTTTTAATGACAACTGTCAGCCAACGTCAAAGTCAAAATGTTCAATATGAATGTCAAGATAGTTCTACTGTACGGAGCTGAAACGTGGAGAACTACTAAAACCATTATCAATAAGGTACAAGTATGTATAAACATTTGTCTATGTAGCATAGTGAATTCCCTTGGCTAGATATCATCAGCGACAGTCTACTATGGGATAGAACAAACCAACTTTTAACTAAGGAGGAAATTATGCAAAGATGTTGGAAGTGGATAGGACACATTCTGGAAATCATCAAACTGCATCATGAGACAAGTTCTAACTTGAAATGCTGAAGGGAAACGAAAAAGCGGAAAACCGAAGAACACACTTCGTCGGAAATTGGAAGTAGGCATGAAAAGGATGAATAGCAACTGGAAATAACGGGGAAGGATTGCCCAGGATAGAGTTTAATGTAGAATGCTGGAGGGCAGCTTGTACTCCTTCACGAGTAACAGGCGAATTGGATTGGAATTAATTAAAGATAACAAAAAGTCACAAAATGTCCAGTGATGCTTCACTTTTTTTCAGCATATCAATATGAATATTATCGAAGTCAACTTATGATATTTATGTTATTCAAATATAATCCTCTAGGTGATGATATATCCACACATATATCATCTAACTTAGGGATAGAATAAAAGTGACATAATTTGAATAAATAAATAATCCAATTTATGTATGAGATGGATGTTAGCTCTGATTAGCGTATCAATACAACACATTTGCATACATTTCTCAATATACAACAACTAAAATAGTGGGAATTTCGAATGATTGTAAAAGTATGATTATAGTTTGTGATAAACTATTGTGTGACCCAGCCGTAAAATATTGGTAAACATAAAAATATTGTAAGTAATAGATGTCTTGGAAGCATTATCTCTATATAAAGACAATCGAACAGGATGTGATTAAGCACCATACGAAATAACTGGACTAATTCTCAGACGCCTACAGTTACTTATCTATCCGAAAAGGTGACGTTTGTTACAACAGATTTAGAAGAGGATAACATAGAAGTGGGATAACAATTGAAGCAGTCAACTTTAAACTATTAGATTACAGATTTAAACCCTGTTTCATTTACTTCAATTTTGACAACGGCGAAAAAAATATCAGCAATTGGTGAATTACAAGCAGCAGGTCGAACAGGTTTACGAAAGTGAATATCTGATAAAGGTTTTTAAAAAGTTACAAAAAGGGGTGAAAACTCTGGCTATTTGTCTACCGAATATTACGTTTCAACCCATGAAGAAACGTAAGCGCAGACCAGATACAAGTAGATCCTTATAACCAGTCCGAAGAATGACCTCAAAGTGGAGATATCAGTAGGATAGATCCCTGAAAATTACGGGCTTGTATCAGAAATAAATCAAAACACAGTGAATGGTCTATGTTCAACAAAAGAGTGCGCTAGTGAACAAATCAAAATCCTTGAAGATTTTTTGCGTAAATTCTACATAAACTCTGATGTACTCACAACTGTATCTTTGTTGTTCATGCTGATAAAAACACACACATACTCTCGACATTTGCTCTGATTGAGAATGAGTTATGTGAAGTATATTCTAACACAAAGAAAGACCACAGAGAACTCCATTATGTAACAAAAATATGACATCGAAGAGTGTTTATTATTATTATGATTGTTAGAACCAGAAAACACAACACGAAACGAATTACTAAAGTCACAAAAAATATGTATAAGAATAAAAACTACAACCACTCGTGAAAGAGTATAGTATAGATAGGAGTCAATCGTAGTCGAGAAAGCGACTTTTCAGATTTTGAATAAAATTCAAATAATACCCATAACAATAGGCAACAATATTTCTGTATAGTACTAAAAACGTTCACAATTATAACGAAAAATTACCGAAAACCAACATAAAGTAAAAATCATTGTGTTAAACGTATCAAGTGTTTTATTCTATTTCTGTACATTTTATATAACATCTTATCCCTAAATGCTTAATCCTGATTCATAATAATAAGCTAGTGGCAATATAACTTACAATCAAGAAAGTTAGATAACACTTCTTGGATATTTGAAGTAAATACATTCATCCATTTGAATACAGAGAATTTCCGCATTATAGAAGATGATGTGTTAGCAGTTGTAGCTCTAAACTCTAATCCTTGCTCTGAATCTACAACCCTGACAATGCAGGTACTCTGAAGAATTTATTTTCGTTCATATAAAGGTTCGAGGACAGGGATTAAATATCATTGTTTTTCAGTTGAAAGGGAAAGTACTTGTAGAGGACATTAAAAGATACATTGATTCTGTAAAAATTTGCTAACATTGTGTTTTACAGTTGTTTTCTCTGCCATACACCATCCATTTAGAGACAGTTTTTCAATTATGTGAAGAAATGACAGGAAGTTCATCGTGGCTGATTTATTGTCGTTCCTACACTATACTCTTGCCCAATCCCGTACCTCAAAGTCAGTCAGCTACAACATAGGACCAGGCGCAGATATGCATCAGTCCAAGTTGCCATACCTCATTAGCACAACAAGATTGCATAAAAGGATATAGTACAGGAAGAAAGAATTAGTTCGTAGACAATTTTGAGTAATTTTAATCGCAAGGATTAAGTGAAGGCGAAGGGTGTATACACCAACGTCACTGTAATCGATTCGGAGCCATGTCACCAAGAGTCTCCAACCATTGGTTACGAAAGTCACGCGGACCCCAACCAAGTAGTCTGCATCTACCAACATGGCTCAGACTAGAAGTTAGTGACTTCAGGCACTGATGCCACGTTTTGGTTTGGCCGCCCCTAACTTTCTTCCAACCATCCCCTACACCGGTTAGCATTGCACGTCGTGGTAATCGGTGTTCAGGCATACGTAATACGTGGCCCAACCATCTCAGTCGATGAAGATTCATAACCTCATCAACTGATTTACCATCATTCCCTAATACCCTGCGTCTAACCTCACTATTACTTACCCGGTGATTCCAGCAGACGCCAGCAATATTTCTAAGGCATCTGTGGTCAAATACTAGTAGCTTACTAGTGTCTTCTACTCTTAATGGCCATGTTTCGCTGCCGTAAATTAAAACAGAACGGACTGCCGCGCAGTATACTCGTCCTTTTATTGATAGACGGATATCTCGCCTCCGCCATAGGTGACGTAAGTTGGCGAAAGGCAAACGAGCTTTTCGAATCCGTGCTGAGATTTCGTCAGACACCAACCCATTAGGGCTGATCAGAGTTCCAAGATAAGAGAAGTTGTCAACGCGTTCGACTACTTCACTCCCTATCTTTAGTTCAGGTGTTGACGGAGACCAGTCCTGAAGCAACAACTTGCATTTAGAGGGAGAGATGCGCATTGCAAACATTCTGGCATTGTTGCTTAGTGCTACCAGAAGACTCTGCATATTATCAGTGCCTTCACCAAACAGGACGTTATTCCCATTAGTAGGTCCTATGATGAAGTTAAACAAAAATGGAGATAGTGGACAACCATGCCGGACACTACTTGAGGTTGAAAAATTAGGTAATATTTCGCTGTAAGCTCTGACTCAACTAGTAGTGTTCGAGTAAAGAGCCTAAAAACTCAATGTAAACATTAACTAATGTTTAAAACTTACGGTAGAGTAGTTTTATTTTCTATCGCATCAATTCCATCGGTGCCAACATTTGCTGGATTAATAACTATGGTACAACCTTTTGGTGTGGTAGCATGATTATTCGATGAATCTAATGCATTTGAAATAAACGGTTGTGCATATTCACGTGACTGTGAATTGATATTTATGTTTTCACCATCAAATACATTTTTGCAATCCTAGACAAGTTATTTGTGGAAAAGATTCACGATTATAGGATTATCAAAATAAATCAGTTATGAATAGTTTAATCAAGATTAAAATTATTTCTAGAGGATTGGTTAAAATGAATGACTACGAATGATGCGGAGATGATATTTATCCGTTTCTCAATATTCGGGTAATCAAACATTTTCAAGAATGTATTCGTTCATTTTGTTGGCGAGTGCTGCATATGAGAGTATAATTTTCTCTAGGGATTTTAGTTTCTAATTTATTTGCCTTTTTCACCTAAGAGGTTGAGATGGGCTTTAGTTGCGTATTCATGGGGTATGTATGCGGACAGCTTCAAATGATGGAAATGCAATCTCTAGTGAAAATTGTGTTCATATACACAACGCTGATCCCCATAATGCTATATATTGCACTTTCACGGAACTTTGAAATGATGGTTATCGTTACACAAATGATACTGATAAGTAACAAAAGTACAGGCATGTCAACTGCGAGGGCTCAAATGTCAACTTACGGTTAGATGGCAGGTAAGAAGTTAAAAACAAGGCAAGCTGTTGGAGGAGTTCAGTCAAACACCTAGTTAATGTCTCAGTCTACATATTTTATTCCGGTTCAAAAAAATAATGCCATATGAATACTAAAGATTTGTGTATGTTACAAATCGATTCGGTAATTAAACTTAACGATTAATTCCAGTCTTGTCACGTACATACTGGATGAGATATACCGTATGATTCGTATATCCTAATTAAATCAGACCTCAGAACAAAATAGATACGTTACGCACATCTGAGAAACTCAGAAATGACAATTTCAAAATACTTTGATATAATCAAGAATAACTTTCAGGTGAAGTCACGGGATTGTAAAACTTATATACAAACAAAATGAGATCGATTACACAAATGTCCAAAACAGAAGAGTGTAACAGAGATACGTAATAGATAATGTATTCAAGCACTTCGAAGTAGGTGACCATCCCAATTCATACCTATTTACATTCTTCATGAGTGGTGGCTAGGTGATTAACGCTTCCGACTTTCAAACCCTAAGTGACAAGTTCGAATTCTATCCCATCTACTTCAGTTGGGGTAACCAGGGTTAGTACCACTAGGCATTACAAGTAGAGTATGACTGAAAGGCAAATACGCCAATATGTACGTAGTAACGAGTTTATAATAACAATAACAATGGTAATGATAGTGATAAATAGCACATGTTTTTTTCCGGTGAGACGTATGTTAACATTGTACTTTTGGTCTGGAGGTTAAGGGTTTGCGCGAGACGAAAGGTCCTGAGATCGAGTCACAGGTGCGGGATCATGGGTGCAAATGCCTGACGGGCCCTATACTGGGACGAAACGACTGCCAAGTGCTTCCAGGGTTTTAATGGTGGTCTGACATTGATCGGTTCACGATCTCAATAAAAATCCAACAATCTCCACAACCCTATACCGGTGAGGAAATTTTTCTTTTCAATTAATTCCTCATTAGAGCTTTACACTAACATAGATAGGTTTTACAATTCAGTAAATAAATGGTGATTCGTCGAATTAACAATGTCTTCTATAAAGCAGTAATCATTAAGATGTTCAATAAATGTAGAAGATATAACATATTTAAGGATAAGGTTACGTAATCAGTTAACCATAAAACTCGTTGCACAATAATTCATTTCAAAATCAAGCAATGGAATATGAATGTTTTCTGTTATTTGTAAAGTTAACAGTACATAATTAGTAAAACGAGTACAATAGAAATTAGGTAATCAGATTATTAAGAAAGATAGATAGATCATGTAAAATGAAATTATAAATCAAAATTGAGTAAAATTAAAAATTTTCTAAGAAATGTAGTAAGTGAGGTGAAAGTCATGGTTAATTAAGAGGCTGGACAAAATTCTACTGAACACAAAGATAAGGTTTGTTGATGTGTGTACCTATGACTTTCGACATATGTGAAAGACGAAGTCTGGAAACATAGTGCAAGTTCGATGTCATTCTATAAATAGATTTGGAAAAACATTTTGTATTGATTGATATCTACTAAATGCACTAAAACAGAGTGTTTTTTAGTGGGGCCCTTCATTTTGACGTCAATTAGATCGGTCGATGTTATCAACGATCTCACCACTTTAATGGCCCGACATCTTACTCCAATTGGATCGTATGAGTGTTATTGAAAGACATATGTCAGGTATCCTCGTATGTAATAATAGACTTAAACCACGTTAGTGAATAATGGAACTAAATAAGCAAAATACGAGAGTTGATTTTGAATATGTATATTTCATGCACTCATTGATTTGACCAGGCAATCAAGAAGACGAAACAAATAGGGAAGAGCGAAGGAGATTGGAGAAGTGAAGAGAGCGAAACGAAAAGACGCGCAGTTGATGAGTATGAACCAACTCGATATTTATAGCCGAACAAAAATAAGTTACAGACATGTGATAGTAAGATAGGAAATGAACACACAAACGCTTACATAAAAACAGTCAAAGTTGATAAGTAAATAATTAACAAGGTCAAAACGTGACTCAAGAACAATGAATAAATTGGCCTGTCCAGAAGGTAGAATAAGTGATATGCGCTTAACATAGTAACCGACACTACAGTTTCACTGTTCTCTTTTCGAATCAAACAAAAGGTGATATTCAAAAATAGTGATATAATTGCGTGGTTCTATGGTGCTATTTACAGATCACATCGCTAGCTCGCAGGTTACATCACATTTAACTGCAATTTTAGGACTAAAGTGTTCTTCGATGATGCAGGTGATTTTACTTTAGGTTCTATTGTGGACGTATATTTTGTTTGGAATTTTATTGAGTATCCGTTTTTACTTAATGGGTTCCATAGAGAGCATGGTTCTATTAGACCACAAAAAAAGACGGAAATAAACAAAGCACATTTCTTGACTTTGATATAGTGTGGAATTGTACGTACACTGTTGAGAAATGTCAAAGTATGCTGACGTAACTGTCAAGAGTATATTTTGAGTTCCCAGTAATGTTTTAAATATCAGTTTGTGATAGAACAATAGAAAACAACACCTATTATTGATTTATCGCTAAGTAGTCTATTATGTCTGTGTTTACTCCTTTAATGCTGATCGAATTCTATCAGTCAAATTATAATATGGTCATCAGTCTAAGTGAATCGACAATGTGTGATGTTGAGAAAGCACGTTAACTACCTAGTATTTTAAAAACAAAAGCAATTACGTTCACACAAACTGTTTATCTTTTGGCCGTCAGTATATGCAAATTTTATAACCATTAATCTATAGTATGAAATTTGAATAAAATCGCCCACAAAAAGGAGAGAGAAACAGAGAAACCAGCCAGAAAGACAACAATTTCAACTCCTTATTCACTATTTTGTATTCTATCTTGATTGTTATTGTTAATAAAACCATGATAAATTAGAACAGACAATAAAAAACTTTTTATTATTTTAAAGAGTTATCGAAGTAAGAACATCACAATGGTAAAATTAGTAGTTATTTTTGATGTTGAATTCTTTAAGTTAGATAATTTGATGATAGAGCTTTCGTTGTCGTTCAGAACAACATTGCCAGGGCCTACTTTATGAAGTAATTAAATTAAACCAGATAAGTTAACAACATTAAAAATATTCGCCTGAGCTGTAAATCTTCTCTACCATTGATAATATTCAATGACAATTTCAAGGAGTGAACTTCACCAGCAATTTATTATACATATATAAGGATGGCTATGACGGTGATAAGGATAAGATATAAAGGTGAGAAAAGTGACTAGGATAATGAGTGTTGATAAGAAGAACGAAAAGAATAACAGTGATTAATTTCTATGACGAAACAGACAAGCGTGAACCTACACTGTCGATTACCGTTTTATTACTGAAATTACTTATACCGATAACAATAGTGGAGTCCTATAGGTTTTGAGTTCAAGAAACTTCTTTGTACGTTTTACTTCCCGATCTCAGTCATTGTTTTTAAATTATCTTCTCCCTTAGCTAGTTCACCACTATTCCTAATACCATTATTTCTTGTTTTTCAGATAGATGCCAGGTATGACAACTTGGATCGATACAGATTATTGCCAGATTGTAGATTAATTACGAAGGATCAGGGCTAATAATAATTATAGCTGAGATCAAACACATTTTCCATCATGAAGGGGTGGTCACGCTTACATACCCGTAAAACCCCGACTGAGCTATATTGATTGGAACACTTGTTCCTTTAGGAGAGCGATAAAACTAAGAGCATATGCTTGATATCAGTTGATGGACGCGTACTGCTAACTGTACAGAAATGTCACTGGGTTACAAAATGTTGTCCCTAAAAATAATACACTTTACCTTGGACCCACGGAGTTCTGCTCGTAGTGAGCTCTGAAAAGTATGGAGCTAATGCATCTAAAACTACTCACAAAAACTCATGTATGACTGGTTTCAAATATTTATCTCTTGGGCTCTTAACTCAAACCGAAGTTTGAAAGACCCCTACCATTAATCCGATCTCGTTCCCATATACCCGTAGAAAAGTATCGTTAAGCAGTACAGGTAGCCGGTCTGAGGGCGAAGTCGTACTGCTGACTGTAGAGGGGTGTGAAAGAAGTAAGGTGTTTCCCTCGTGCAACTAGTATCTGCAGCGATGCTGCCTACCCACAAGGAAGGAAGGGGTTAGAAAAGGTCGACCCTAAAAATGTCACACCTTACCTTACTTCACGGGTTTTCATTTCCGACGGTAAGGCCCTTTGAAGAACGGAGCTAACACCTTAAAAACTTCCCACAAAAAGGCTGAGCGTGGCCGGCCAAAAGCAGTTGTCCCTTGGGCTCTGCGGTCACGCTCCTAGATTAAGACCAACAATAAGCCAACTTCCTACTCAGGTTCCTCAAGAAATACCCTTCCAAGGTGTGGGCAGCCGGGAAGTGACGCCAGCCCTCATACACATAACAACACACGATACCAAGTTGGTTATAATCGAACCCTTTCTACACCTAATAACTGGC